ATAATTAATTTTATTATATTATATTATAATATTTTATTAATTATAGAAATTATATTTTCATCTAAATAAAAAATAATAAAAATAATATTGTTATTACTTATAATATATTAATAGTTATTATTTTTTATCATAATAGTATGTTTTGATATTTTTATAATGTTATAATATGTTAATATTGGAAATTTATTATTGAACCGCTATAGTATCTCATAATCAACCGGTCATAAATATCCCGCAAACGCACCAGTTTTTAATCACTGTACCAGTCGTACAAATCGCCTAATAACGCTAGAAACCGCAACCACCCACATCCGCAAACTCCCGTAACCGCAATCGCAACCGCCGCGTTTCAACCAGTCAGACCCTAAGTATTAAGTACCAAATCAATGCCAATTAATTTAGAAATTCTAAAAATTAAGAAAATTTCCATTTGCCAAATCACTAACCATATTAGAGAAAATCTGAAGATTCCAGAAAATAAGATTAAAAGCTTTCATTATTATGGGAAAACAATAGAGCTTACTGCTTTCACGTCTCATTTGAGAGAAAACTAAAACCCACGTCTGTGTGAAAAAGTCAAAGATCTCCAAAAGCTATCACTAAACTTGATCTATACGCATTTCTCATCTCAAGTTTTCCGAGGCGTTCTACTGATTTGTAATGTCATGTTTAATTGTATATATTAATTTTTGGATCAAAAGATGTGTTCTCTTTCTAATACCAATGCCGTTTGATTCAACATCTTAAACAAATTCTTTGATCACTGATTAGATCATTCGTATTTTGATTGTATTGCTCTCGTGTAAATTGGCTCTTTACAGTATTGTTTATATCAGTAATCGTGTTGATGACGTTTGGAGCTTAGAATCAAAAGTGGTAATTAAAAGATAAACTATGGGAATCTTGTCACGCAGGTAAAGAATCACTTTATCTCGTTTATTTTCTTATTCTTTATACAGACGCAAGATAATGCTTTAAGATCAGATGACAATTGTTGTTAGTACAGCCCAACTAAAATAAGAAGATCAGAAGATCATGCCATGAAGCTTCTTGCAACTGCTTTGTTTTCTGTAACTTTTGGTATTCTGATTGGACTATCATTTCCATATTTATGGATCACTAAGGTTAATCTTCTTTCTTTTTCAATCTTTTCTTCTTCGTCATCTTAGATTTTTCTTCAGATGTAGCCATTTTGTATTGTACAGGCTAGTCTACCAAAAACCCTTCTTCGTTCCATTGCTCTCTCACATATATATTCGGATACTGCAGCTCTTACACAAGCCATTCATAACCCAAAGGCATGTTTTATGCTATTGTTTGAAAGATTTACACATTTTTTTTCTATGTTTCAAGAACAATGTGCTTTACATTCTATGCAGATATGGGTTCCTTCAAACCCTCAAGGCACTGAGAGATTGCCACCAGGTATTATTGCATCTGAATCAGACTTGTACTTGCGCAGATTGTGGGGGAACCCTGAAGAGGTTTGTTTCTATTAACACAATCTCATTCCTGCATTTTCATGTGCTATAGATTCAGTTTTATTTTTCTCTGTTTCTTCAGGATTTGAAGAAGAAACCGAAATATCTGGTAACATTTACAGTGGGCTATAACCAAAGACACAATATAGATGCATGTATTAAGAAGGTTGCTTCATGCCCTTTATAATCTTATGTTCTTGTGCTTAATAGTAAACTATGCTTAATAGTAAACTCATTGTGTTGTGTTTTCCTAAAAACAGTTTTCAGATAGTTTCACCATTGTTCTGTTTCATTATGATGAGAAAGTAAGTGAGTGGGATGATGAGTTTGAGTGGTCAAAGAATGTAATACACATAAGTGTCCTCAAGCAAACCAAATGGTATAGCTTTTGCTTAGTTATATCTCTTTTTTTTTCTCAAACCATATAGTTTCTTTACTCTCCTATATATTATGAATTTAAGGTGGTATGCAAAGAGATTCTTGCACCCGGACATTATAGCGAAATACGATTATATCTTCATATGGGATGAAGATCTTGGAGTTGAACATTTTGACGCAGAAGAGTGAGTTTCTTTTACACTCACTTACATTTTCTTGATCATTTTTCTAAGTTTATTGTTGCAGATATGTAAACATGGTCAAGAAGCATGGCCTTGAGATTTCACAGCCTGGTTTGGATCCAGAGAAAGGGACTACATGGCAGATCACTAAAAAAAGAGAACATGTTGAAGTCCATAAGTATGCATGACCTCTCTTACATGATTTTTGTTACATTAATCTCTTTACATATATGGCTTTAACTTACCAGGGAAACAGATGAAAAACTCGAATGGTGCTCTAATCCTCCTCGGCCTCCATGTGCAGCGTATGTTAAAAACATCTCTCTATCAAACTCAATGTTCACATGCATCTCCTCATTTATACAACTTTGGTTCTTTGATAACATAACAGATTTGTCGAGATTATGGCTCCTGTATTCTCAAGAGATGCATGGCGCTGCGTGTGGTATATGATCCAGGTTAATACTACTTTACTATCTCTTGTCTTCATGGTCGTGTTCTATTTTTAAAGATACAGTTTCTTCTCTTACACCTTTATGATTAACCAATAACAGAATGATTTGGTTCACGGTTGGGGTCTTGACTTTGCACTCAGAAGATGTGTTGAGGTACACAAAACATTTCCAGACCCTTACCGTTAATTTCTTGTTTACAATCAATTAACTAAGAGGCTTTCATGTTTATCTTTCATGTTTATATCTGAAAATGAAGGAGCCTGCTTATGAGAAGATAGGAATTGTAGACTCTCAGTGGATCGTTCATCAGTTTATCCCTTCACTTGGTAGTCAGGGAAAGGAAGAAAATGGGAAATCCCCAATAGAAGGGGTAAGAAAGCTTGGTCTTGTCTGAATAAGAACATCGGTCTTGTCTTTCAGAGAGTTTGGTCTTGTTATGTACTCTAGAACAATAACTTGACACGCAAGCAACTAAATGTGTCCTAGTTTATGTCTTTAATGTGGTTGTTGTTTATGCAGGTGAGAGATAGATGCCATATGGAATGGAAAATGTTCGAGAGCAGAGTAGATAACGCAGAGAAGGAATATTTCAAATCGTTACAAGTGCAAAGCCATTCTAGTTCAACCACCTTTCAATAGGATCTTAACATTTTTGCTGTAGTCAGGACTCAGGAGTGCTTTTTTCCCAACATTTACATACAGATCTTTATAGGTAATCTATAGATACCTCTTCAATCAGATACTGATGATATAAAGAGACTTGTCAATAAACTCGACATGATCTATCAAATCACTTTGGCCAAAAAAAAAAGAAAAAAAAAGATTTTTGAGGAGTTGAAACAGAACAGGTGTGTGGACTTGTAAAGATATATCATACAGCCATGTTGTGCATGTCAACGTGTCGTGACATGGCCTGCTTACGTAGAATTAGAAATAATGGGAGTTGAGTCTTCACGTGTGAGTTGACCTCGGGAGACCAATAAGCTCTCCACAACGCACCATCTTATTGGCTGTTCACAACAGTGACAGAGAAACAACAGACCCCCGAATACAATCATTGAGAGGTGCTGAGTCTCTAACGACAACCTCTCTCGTTGTGACACATGTTTAGACCACCGCTGGTTTTAAAAATCCCAAATCGCCCAATTAATGGTCACTATAATTGTGATGATTTTGATACATATATAAATCGATTTGTAACCATTTCATTGTGACTTTTTAGAATTTGTCACACATTGGTCACAATAAAAAAATTTATGACTAAAAAAGTAATATATTGTGACAAAAATTGTGATCATAATATCCATATTTTTTTGTAGTGTGTTTCTCTGATTCTCAAAACTTTTGAACTTTCAAAAACTGCAGTGTCTCTGTGAAGATGATACAGCAAAAGGACATTATAAAAATAATGGGTATTTCGCAATTTCCAATAGCGTCAGAAGGAGTACTACCACTTCTGGTGATGGACATTGTTGTTTCAGTCACTTTGTAGAACATGGTGATTTCTGTTTGCACAGTCTATGTGTCCAAATGGAACTTTTAAACATGGTTCTGATGTAAAAGTAAAAAATCTTTAACAACTATTGAAAATTATATAGATAAACTAAAATTTTAAATTTTTATATACTACTAAATTTAGAGCTTATAATTTCAAAAGAAATGTTAAACATATATAAATGAAATTTATTAACTTTCAAAACTACTTCATTACATTATTAAATGTACCACTAATATTTTTTTGAACAGTAATTAGAAATAATTTGTGGACGGTTGTAAGGCATGTCTTCTAGAAACGTTGGACCATTCATGATTTCATGGGGAGAATGATTTACAAGTGGGAAATCTTGATTGATTAACCTGTGCATCGAAGACTCATCCAACTCATAGATTAGGCTAAAAACCCTGGAAATGTGATATCTTTTGCATTTAAAGTGCGACTGAGGTTCTGGAAGTGAAGAACAATACCAGTTATAGTCTTTATTTGTTTATTTAGATAAACCTTTTAGAGAAAGGAAACATCAAGCCATTTTGTTACAGAAACCAAAATAAAAACCAGAAGATGGTTGCACCCAAAATTTAGATACACCTTTTAGAGAAAGGAAACATCAAGCCATTTTGTTATATATATATATATCATTATTAGTACAATACATATAAAATAGGGTATAGTTTATATAAAATATGTCCTTAATGTTTCTTAATTATTCATCATCAATGGACTAGAAGCTCTAAGCCATCCACTCACAGAACTTGCTACGCTCGAACCTGATGAATTCTTCTGCTTCCTTGTCAACATCCTCCTTTTCTTTTGCAACCTCTCTCATACCCATCTTCTCACTCTTCTTCCTCCTCAAATCCGCATGCTCGAAGAACTGCATTGGTTCTTCAGCTGCATAGGAAACTCGGTACTCTTTCATCGAGTCCTGGTGAGTATGATGATTATGATGATGATGATGATGATGATGATTATGATGATGAGGATGACGATGATGATGATGATGAGATTTGTGGTTGGAGGAGTTTCCAAGTATCATTCTTCTGTAAACTAAAACCCTTTAGCTGTTTTTATTTGTTCTGAGTATGGATTTGGTAGAGATACCTATGAAAACTATATGTCGGATGTATCTTTATATAGAGATGTAGTGGTACCTGAAGTCGACATTAAACGAAGAGGTGAATCCGATTCCCTTTTTCCTTATGCCAACTGAGCAAATATAGAAATATATTCTATGCACATGTCTATAGATTTGGTATAATGATAGTCTGATAGATTAGGATCTAATACGGTATTAGTCATAAAGGGTGTTAGATATTAGCTTCAACAAAAATTAATATTATTGATTCGATAACAGTTTGCAACGTTTTACAAACTATTGGAACGACGTCTGATCCTTGAGTTGTAGCCTGTAGGCCAAAGGTATATAATATTCAAAGTTATATGCCATGACTATAAATAGAACTTTAAATAGTAGTTAACGTTGGTTATTCATCATAATTCATATATTGATCGAATTCTATGCTTTAATCAGAGCCGGCCCTTAACGGGGGAAGCACATGCTTCCGGCGTGAGATATTAACTAAAATTTCGGCCGTATCTTTTACCCAAAGTTTCTTTAACCAACTTGGTGATTGTACTATAGTTGGTTGGATAAGATCATGAATTCGAAACTTTGCTCTTCTTCTTACAATTTTTTTTTAGTATCTAGCAGGTCACAAAAAAAAAAAAATTGGCTTCTAGCCCAACTATTTTTAGGACCGGCACTGGCTTTAATAATGGTGCATCTGATGCCAAAGCTTGAATAGATAATTAGTTATCTCATTTGACATATTACTGGTTGGATTTTCAAGAATTTGAATACACCTATAATTAAATTATTATTATATATTCTTACACAAATATATTATTTGAGAATCCCATGATAGATAACTACCATTGGAGGTTTTGGAAGTGAAGAACAATGCCAGTTATAGTTTTTATCTGTTTATTTATAAGCACCTTTTAGAGAAAGGCAACATTAATCCTTTTTGTTACAAAAACCAAAATAATAACCAGAAGATGGTTGCACCCAAAAAAAGAAAAAAGACTAGCACAATATATATGTCATTATTAGTACAATACATATAAAATAGGGTACAATATATAATATGGTATGTCCTTATTGTTTCTTATTGTTGCTTGCTCATCGTCAGAGGACTTGACGCTCAAGTCTAAGTCATCCACTTACAGAACTTGCGATGCTCAAACTTGATGAACTCTTCTGCTTCCTTGTCAACATCCTCCTTTTCTTCTGTGACCTCTCTCTTACCCATCTTTTCACTCTTCTTCCTCCTCAAATCCGCATGTTTGAAAAACTGCATCGGTTCTTCAGCTGCATAGGAGACTCGGTACTCCTTCATCGAGTCCCCGTGATGATGAGATTTGTGGTTGGAGGAGTTTCCAAGTACCATTCTTCTGTAAACTAAAAGTCTAAAACCCTTTAGCTATTTTTATGAGTATGGATTTGGTAGAGATACCTTTGAAAACTATCAGAGGTGTCTTTATATAGAGATGTAGTGTGGTACCTGAAGTCAACATAAAACGAGGAGGTGAATCCGATTCCCTTTCCCCTTATGTCTTCTGAGCAAATATAGAAATATATTCTATGCACATGTCTATAGTTTTGGTATAATGATAGTCTGATAGATTAGGATCTAATCCGGTATTAGCCATTTAGGGTGTAAAATATTAGCTTCAGCAAGAAGCAAGATTATTGATTCGTTACCATTTTACAACGTTTAGCAAACTGTTCGAACGACGTCGGATCCTTGAGGTGTAGGCCAAGGGTAGGTATATAATATTCAAAAGTTATATGCCATGAGTATAACTGGAACTTTCAATAGTAGTTAATGTTGGTTATTCATCATAGAGTGATCGAATTAGATGCTTTAATAATGATGCATCTGATGCCAAAGCTTGAATAGAGAACGTAAGAAAAACGTGCCTCCTATATAGAGACGTGCTTGTTGCTTGGTCAAGAAGTGATACAACTTTTGAGTGTACGACCAACAAAAGAAAAATAAGATTAGCCCAATAGCCTTAGAAAGAAGAAACGAGATTTTCAAAGGCCCGGGTCCAATTTGTAATCGTTTTTACAGTTTTTTTAATATAACCTCGATAATTTGTAGGTAATTTGGACCCACTAATCTGTAGCTGCGTCAGTAAAACAAAAAAAAATACATCATGCTAAATATTCGGATCGAAGTTGACATATAATTGACCTAATAGCAGCAAAGTTGTTCCAGACAGAAATCAAACTAAGTGAGAACGATATTAGGTTTTGAGTTTTGACTGTAGTCATCACCACTAAATTCCTTTTTACCGTTGTTGGCCTTCTCTGTAGTATCATCAGAGACTCGATCAGCCATTGTAGCAGTAGCACTATTATGTCTCCAGTACCGTGCTAAGGTTCGTAACAATATAAGGCAAGTTTTAAAATTAGGGGATTTTGTATATACTGTAGCAAGGAAATAATTTTTAGAAAAAACACCCAACTTAAGAATTGAACTCAGGTTAAAAACTTATAAAACACACCAAAACCTCTCTAAAGAGAAGTGACTAATTTAACCTATTTTGGTGTCCGGTCCAAGAAGATTATAAGCCCATGCCCACGAAAATAGGGTTAACAACATTAAAATCTTTATAAATTAATAATTTTGACACTATAGCAAAATTAGATTTTATTATTAATTTACCAATATACTAATTGAACTAAAAATTTAATTTTAAACTATATATTATTTTATAGAGTTTTTTAATATATATTAATTCATAAAATATTAATATAAAAAAGTTATATCGTATATGAAATGATACCTTGTTTGGTCAAACTTATTTCTTTTAATAGAATTTTTTTTTATCGATTGTTCGTTATTATTTCTGATTACTTCACGGAAACTAGGCTGCATTTCCAGCCATCCGATGTTGCAAATTGGAGTAAATACACGGTTATCTATAGAATTTTGATATGGAACAAATTCTAGATCAGTCCTCAAACAAGAGCGTAACGATATTGTAAACTTCAAAATATGTGCTTCCGATGATTTGAGAGGGTATGGAAAAAATACAAAAATAAGACAAAGGCTGTCTTTATGGATTTCGAAGTCAACTTACTAAAAAATATCTTGTTTTCTTGATAACTCCTTTTGTCCTTTTGGCTTTGTCTTCATTCCCACTCCACGAGTATTTTCTAATTCTTAAATTTTTTCATATATTTTTCTTCTTTAACTTTGCTCCTACTCGACATATGTCACATAGACATATACCATCAATTAACCTTTCTCATAACCAAGAAGAAATAAAGCTCCCATACTCCATTTTATTTTATAAAAAAAAGATAAATATTGTCCTTGCGAAAACCAATCTAACATGGTAGATAATTAAAAAAGATAAATATTGTTATCTAACATGGTAGATAACAAAAGACCAAAGGTTTTTGATCAACACGTAAAGCCGCAACCATAATGGTTTAGTAATCATTAAAGCAATACTGATAAAACATTCCGGCATTTCCATTCTGATGCATCTTAGCTGAATCAAACCCACCCTCATGATCAACCCATCCCAGCTCTCCATGATATTTAACCTGACCAAATCCATTACCTTCAACACTGACCTGGTCAGGAAAACAAAGATCTGTCTGAAAACTAGTCTCTAGCATTGTCGGGAAACCACCAATGGTCGTTGGAAGTGGAGCAGCTTGTTGAGGGATAGGTTTGGGCAAGAAGCCTTGAACAATTTCTTGAAGAAGACCAGACCCAGCTTGTTCTGGTTCGAGGATTGATATCATGCTCTCGTTGTCATCAATGGTACTTAACCTCTTCGCTTTAGGCGAGTGATCTTCAGAGACATCGTTAACATTAGCGAATGAATCGTAAACGGGGCCGGTTACGTTAGAGAGTGGATAAGCGAAAGGAGAAAGAGACTGAGAGTTCAAAACGTCGCGTCGAAGGAACATGTTCATCGGAGGAGACGAGAAAATACGATGGTGGTAAGAGTCAAATGAAGGTATTGGGTAGACGAAGTTGGTTCGAGCTTTATGACCACGCATGGCTCGAGCAGCACAGTCGTAAGCGCAAGCTGCTTCCTCAGCAGTGTCAAATGTTCCCAGCCAACGTCTCTCCTTGGACATCGGGTCGCGTATTTCAGCAGCGTAACGACCCCATGGCCTACGCCTCACGCCTCGGTACCTGATGGGGTTGCCACCTGAAGCGCCAGCTCCGGGGGCAGATTTTGCACCTCCGGGAGAGTATGGAGCGGTGGAGGAAGTTCTTGATGGCTTTCTCTTCAGAGAATGGTTGTTGGTTTCTCTGTGCTCAGCACCTTCTAGTCTCATTATTGCTTCATCCATGGTTTGACCTGAGGGAGGTTTTATTGTAAACAAAGAAAGTGTCTATTTTGCTAAGTGGTTCTCTTAGGGTTTTTGAGGTACCTGAATGGGATGGTAGCTGATAATGTATTTATAGAAGGGAAAATAACATCATTTCTTTATAATAAAAGAGACTTGCGTCTTTTTGAATTGTGATCATTCTATGAGAGTGAAAGTAAAAGCACGTTTAACGAAGTTCATGATACACGTTAGGACTTGTGTGTTTATTTTCCTAAAGACTTACATGAAATCGACAAAAAAGTTTAGAACATGTATTATTTACTTTTGGTTATTTAATTTTTTTCATATTTGAAAAATATAGAAACAATCGCAAGTGATTTTATTTAAACTTATCTGCGCAGATTTTTTCAAAATTTTAGTATATCTAATTAATATAAAAGTGCATGGTTGTTATTTTGTTAAAAAAATTTGATATATTTAATATATTTAATATTTATATTTAACTAATATAAGATCGATAAATTATAGTTACGTTTTGTTATGCTTTTACTTATATATGTAAAGAAAAATTATACGTATTTCAAAGGTTTTATGTTATATTCAATATGAATAGCTGGCAGAAAACAATATATACAATATAAAATATGTCGCCGAAAAAATACAATCTAATTTTTTTTCTGGCATTATATTTTAATTTTATCAGTTTGATTTAAGTTTTATATTCACTACAATAAAAATGCGTTTTAATAGCAGACGAGGATAGAGTTTTTTACGATTGTGCTATGATTGATATACCCGTGTTTTTAAGATAACGTTTGTATTTTCAGAAACGCTATCACAGAATGGTACACTTAGAAACGCTATGGAAACTTATGATTTAATAGCAAAACTAACCAAAACGCTGTGTTTGGATTTTTGAATCTTCAAACTCTAAACTAACTTTAAACCCTAAACTTTACAAACAAACTCTAAATTCTAATATCATTTAAAAATTAACTTCAATTTTAACTTCAACCCCTAATACCCAACACTTATCTATACCTTTTTGTATTTTTAAAACCTTAACCTCATACCATGTATCTAACACACCAAACCCTATACCTAAACCACAGACCACATACTTCAAACAATATAACCCATCTTTTTTTTTGAATTGTTACTCTTACAACTTTTAATCTGTATCCTAACATTACATCATGTCTAAAGAATAAAGCTCAAATTTCTTTTTCAAATTTTAATTTCAGTTCTTATCCTTAAACTTTTGATTCTATATTTCAAACTCTAAACTCTATAACAAAAACACTAAAACCTTCATTTTTTACATCTCTTACCCTAAACATAAATAAAATAAAAATAGTAACTAAATTTCTTAAAACATTAACAAAAAGATAATATGATATAGCAAAAAAAAAAGATAGAAAATAACGAAAAACTCTCATTGGCTATTGAAAATCGGTGGGGATATAAGAAACATTTAATCTCCACCATTGGTAAACCTTAATCTTGGTGATGAACTCTCATTGGCTAATAAAGAAGGGCAAAGACCACCCCTTGTTAGATCACAGCCATTGACTAAAAATCATCCAACGGATGTAGTTAGACTTTTTTTTTTTCTTGTTTCTTTTCTTCTTCCTCCTTTCTCGTCTCTGTTTTAGATCTAGGTTTTTTTTTTCTGATTGACCACAGTTATGTAAATGTTTGATTTTGTTCTGGTGGGAACAGAGGCGAGGTTGTGACGGCAGAGAAACGAGCAACAGTAATCTCGACAGCGGATCTGTGCTAACCTTCACAACGACACAGTAAGCTCGACGATCCTCTTTCACCTCTCTTCCTCTGTTTCTATCCACTTTGACAGAGCTAACACACATCTCTCTTCCTCTGTTTCTTTCTTTTGTGACAGATCTAATACGGTGCCGGACCAGTTTATTTTCCTTCTCGTATCCTGTTTGCGTATTTGCAGAGCATGAGAGACTCGATTTTCTAGTTTGTTTAAGATGGACGAGCAAGGTGAAGACGACGAACACAGATGATGACGACAAGTGCGCCTCCGCTCTGCACCCCTCTCAGATCCCATGGACGCCAAAGAAGAAGGACTATGTCTGGTTGCGACACCAAAGAAGAAGAGCCAGTACTGAAGAGCAGAGCTGAAGAAGACGATGAAGGTGGATGTGCGGCGGCTGGATAGGTTTAGTTAGTAATTAGGTTTAATCTTGGTTTATATTTTTGGTTTATTTGGTTTAGTAAGTTTTGGTTTAAGACTTTTAATTTGTAAATCATTTTTTGTTAACCTGTTTAATTATAAATCATTTTATTAAATTAATATATATATATATATATAAATGAGTTTAAATTTTAATTTTGTTTCTAATTTTTAATTGTTTATTTGTTTATTTGATTTTTGTTTTAAATTTTTTTTAATTTAATTTTGCTCTGTAATAACAAAAAATAAACGCTATTAAAGAATATTTAATTACAAATAAAAAAGCGCTATTGATTCCGAAAGAAAGATAGCATCGCGAAAAAGTGTTATCTAATGTGCCATACCTACTATGACGGGCGATGATACAGCGTTCCTTAAACCGCTGTTGAATCGTTAGATAACGTTTTTCGTCCGCTAATAAAGCTCATTTTTCTTGTAGTGATTTTTACGTTTATTATGATTTTCTTATAAAAAATAAAATATGAAATTAAATTATACTTTCATAAATAGCCTTTTACCTTTTTCTTTTAATAAATATAGAATTTATTAGATATTATACATGTATTAAAATTTTGTATAAATTACATAAACAAAAGTACAAAATCATATTATATTTGGATGAATATATTTTATTTTTTTCTTTTTTACTAAATATAGAACTGATTACTTGTTAACATATATTTAAAGTAATTTAAAATTATATTAATTATTAGCTATAAAAAATAAAACATAAACAATGAACATGTTTGACTAACCTAGACTGTAATTTATAAATTAGATTAGAGGGCTATAAGGTTAATTTCGTATTAAAATTTAAAAGATATAATAAGACAAAAAAGTCAAAGATTTAAAGGGACAACAAATCTATTCTGAATATGGTCTAATTAATTAGCTAATTTATTCAATACCTTACATGGCTTTTATAAAATAATACCGTAATTACTATACTTACTATTTTTATTTTCCTTATTGTCAGAGTTTCAAGATGTCTCGATAATGTATTTATATGTTTTTGATTTTTTTTTCTGAACACAATATCTTTTTGATTTATTCTTCTGTTTTTAGTGCCCAAGAGATATTATTTTCTTGAATGTAATTAAAACTAATCTAATAAAATTGCAACGCTGAATCACAATTTTAAAAAGTGTACCCGTTCTGAAAATTTTGAAAACAAAATTTGTTTTTACACTAATTAGTTTTTTAAGTTTGAATAATTTCAAGAATTCAAAGAGTACAACCCCTTTTATGTACCACCAGTGTTGTGTTTTAGAGACCTTTTCGTGAATAGTATTTTGGACAAAGAAGAACAGTCAATAAGTACTATGGTAATAACAATAAATAAAGTCCTTACCAAAAAAAAAAAACAATAAATAAAGTCAGTTAAAATTATTTAGACAGTAGTTTGTGGATGGGAAAGGAAATTATGATGCTGGGGTAAGGAGAGTGTTGAAAATCGTAATATTATGATTCTGAATTAATAACTGGCGGCGCTCAGAAATTGTTCCTTCTACATGAGGTTATGTTTTGTCTGTTCTTTTTACGAGATTATGGTCAATTTGGTTATTCAGGGTTTTGATTTATTTTTATTCTTTATGAAAACCTAAGTCACGTGGATGTGTCTCAACTAGGCCTCTTTCTTCATGGCGTGTAGCCTCTTTAGGGTTTCCTACTGTTACTCGATTGTGACTAATGACCTCTCGCGTTAATCTCCACCACTAATTTCATATCCTTTTGGTTAGTTTAAGTTGACATAGGTATTACAGCTAACTTAATTAATCTCCAGTCACTAATTTCATCTCTTTCACCATTTTGATCAATGTCGGTAATCTTTAACCGATAAAGTGATCCCGTCCTCTACCGTCCAAACCCTAACACATAGGTCATGTTGCATGAAACTATATATGTATCGTGCTCTAAGCAACATGTATTCTTTTTATTTTCACGTACGTCATCGCACGATTATTGTTATATATCGAATCGCAAAGTAACACTTTTCAATTACATTTGCGAACTTTCCCTTATACCGAATAAACAACGATTTGCAGTTTGCTCAGTTCATGTAAAGCTAACGGTCATTTCGACAAAAGAAGCAATGACTCGGTTTTCAACTTAACGTTAACAAAATCGCGTCTAGCTAGGAGACAATGAGATTAAAGAAAGAGGAATCTTGAATTCCTTGTGGCACCAACCAAATGTTTGTGGGCAAGTGGTTCCGAAGGATATAGAACATCTCTTTACTGAGAGCATGTTAATAGTTTCTTTTAAATGATAATAGTATTTACAGATTGTGAAACATTAAAAGTAAATAATATCATAACTAGGTCTGAGCGGAATCGGTTCGATATATTTTAGTTTTTTGTTTTGTTTTTTTTGTTCTAGAGATATATGACTCGTTTAGGTATTTAAAAGAGTTGGTTCGGTTTTGTTTGACTATATCAGTTTGCAATTCGATTCGAGGTATAAGACTAGAAACCGGATAATATCCAAAATAGTTTTGGGTCAAATTTGTTTCTAGATCATTTTGTTTTTTTTGTTAATTCGGTTTAAAAATTAGAAATTTTGGTATTTTCAGATTTAATATCCAATTTTTTGGGTTTTGATAAAAATACGGACAATTAACATAATTTTAAATCTTCCATATAAAAAATTGAGTAATTCAATTTATAAATGGTACTTAAATATTTGATTTTTTAAACTAAATATAGTTTATATTTATAAATATATAAATTATAGTATAGAAATTCAGATATTCATTTAATTTTAGTTCGGTCTCATTTTTTTTTAATTCTAAGGATATAAGATCCGTCCGGGTCCAAACCCGAAGTGAAACAAACCTTGTTGTTCTGTTTGGTTTCATTCTTCGGTTCCGGATAAATATAAATGTGTCCATATTTAGTCAAAACGATATTTGTAATAGCTAGATATATGAACTTGTTCATTTTTATTTGGGGTGAAAAATAGGGTAAATATTAAATCGTGGCATGAGTGAATGTTCTTGAAAGGCCAGGTTAAAGTACGTCAAAAACAAAAATACTTTGCTCAACTAAAAATACCTTATTTTAGTTTTCTTTTTTGTAAAACATCTTATCTTATTTTGTTAGTTAAAAAAAAATAGAAGGCAAAAATGAAAGGGCAAAGCTAGGAAAGTAGGTTACATGCAACGGTACAACATTAAAGTTGATACCAGAACTGTCTCCTCTCTCCTAAACGCGTGGGTTTTTCTCTGCACAATGCCTCACTCTCTATGAATATGTAGTATGCATGTGTTTGACTTTTTATTGCACACACGAACGCATTCATGCATGTGTGTATAATGTGTTACTGATCGATACAAATCCAAACTACTCTGCATGTACGTAGTCAACTACGACATGTTGCATATCTACGCATCTTTAGATACACATATATAATGCAATCTAACATGCATTAACAACAAACATGTGTTACAATTTTAAAAAAATTAATTTGAGGATATCTCCGGTCTATAAAGGAAAGATATCCAGACTAATCCCTAAATAAAGTGTAGTCTACAAACAGATATTTTTTCTGGATATTCAAATGGATAATAAGCAATTGATCCATATTTATGTGAGATGTGACCATACGTTGAACTAGTAATTTTACACTAGAGAGAAATCTATCCCTAACCAACAAGGCAACTTCTAGTGGAAACCGCTGGATGAATGGTTAGCATTCGTTAATTTAGCAAGAAATCATATGATTATTTGTGATTACATTTTAATTAGGTAGATGTTACTTAACGATGCGATCATATATATATTCTGATTATACCTAATAAAGTTTCTAAGGTCTTTTGCTTGCTAGACAGATATGGATCTTAAAAGCAAAGATTTGAGTAGGTTCTGGTTCCCTCTTAAACATACACCAGGTCTCAATTATAACCTAAACCTACACCAATTCACAAACGTATAACGTACGATTCATCATCACTCACTTTCACGTGATCACTCATCTCTTTGACATGTTTACATATAGTAATTGTTTTGGTGGAGATCAGGCTCATAATTAAGGAAACAGTTCATGGGGTAAACTTTTTCATATGAGCATTATTGTTTCCATCTATTAATTACCATCATCTGTTTTATTTTATAGCCCGTTTCCGGTTGTACTATACATAATATGTAAGCCTTTCATAGGGTAAAAATAAAAATTAACTGTTGAACTGAGAGTTACTTCAGGCCTCTTCTGATCAAATTGTCCCCTATGTTAATAAAGCTACCAATATTTACCACATTTGGAATTTATCTTTTGTCGTCATTCGGAAATATATTTATACCAACATTATTTTTAGCAGAGCAATTCTCCTTCGGTAAGAGCAAACTATGACTTAAATAATTTTAGTTAGAGGTGTGTGTGTGTTTGTGTATCTACACGTCACATTAACAATTCTGTTGTCCATATGTCTATAAATTAAGATGTCACAAAATTTCTCAAGCTTTAATCTTCAAGAGAAAAAGTGTGGAAAGTGTAAGAAGATATACGATAGAGATCCTCCATTTATTATATCCGATATCTTCTTCTCTACTTTAGGAAGCTTATGTTAATATGTAACCTAGTCTCCAAGTATCAACTCTATATATAAGTGTTTCACTTCACGTTAACTAAATAAGAGAAATACATTTCGTAACAGAAAGTTACATAAAAATTGTGAAAATTTGTTAAAGTTGAATTATCAGAATCAATTCCAACGTCTAAACTCTCAATTACATATAAAAAAGCAAGTTATCAGATCGAGGCTATCTAAACATGCTAGATACTTAAATATGCTGCTAATCGTGCCCTACCTTTAAGACCGTATGGAAGAGTTCAAGTTAGTGGCTGATATATCTCAACATGCATCAAATTTCTTTGCGGGCGGTCCGAATTTGTGGACACTCTTTGCCTTAAATTATCATCTCCATATTTTTATTCAATCCCTGTTAAAAAATTATATCCAATTTCGGTTCTTTCAAACGACAGTCACTCAATTCTTTTATTTAATTTGAGGTCAATTTAAATTTCCTTTAAATTGTAATCCTTGATACTTTTTTTTTTTGGGTCAAATAATCCTTGATGGAGAACGAAAAGCTCCAATGTGAGCAAATCTTTGACATCAAAACTAAATAAAAGCACATGCTGGATATATAAAATATATTATTTGATCTGGTCTTGTAATAACGATGAAACATACAAATATGGTAATTTTTTTAATTTACCGGTCTAAGCAAATCCTCGGTCATACATGGAAACTGATTAGACCCGCCGTCGAATCTAAGATTGTCTGTTTGACCGTAAATTGAACGGCTACGATTTTCTACAGCGGAAACAATAAAAACCAATCAGAAACATACACGTAATCTAGTTTCCTCTTCGGATTATCAAACAAAACCTGAGTTTGATTGACTATGGGTCCCATTGATTAGAAGAAGTGTGGGATTGATCTGAAGGGATCAGATAGATTTTCAGATAGATTTTTTTCCTTCTTTGATTTGATGCTCTGTCTTTGTTTCGGTCGTCGAAATTTCTCATAAATTACCCAACGGTAACTGCTTTTTTTTTATCCTTCTCGAGGTAATTTTGAAAATTTCTCGATGGTGTATATTTCTTTATACTGTAATCTTTTTCCTTTCAGATGTTAATCTGTTTTACATAATCAGCCATAGAATCATTATAATTAATTTCTTGTAGAGCTTTAACTTAAATGTATGATATAGATTAACATCAAAACGTATGACAATCCAAAAAATAATAATCAAGAAGCATGGTGGTTGTTGCATGAATCCACTAAAAGTTCATGTGTTTGGTTTGCATGAATACGAAGAATTAAGTTATTTTGTACAAAAATGCGGGAAACTTTTATATTCTCATTCATTTTGATTATTTAATGTTTTAATTACTTGTTACCTGACCTCTGAGTGTATAAGCAAAATTATATAGATGATAAAACTTCAGTAGTGATTAAAGAGTCCAATCAGTTTAAAGATATCAATTTAACCGCATAAAAAGTGTATAATCTTAATTTTGTTTAGAGCAACCAAATTAAAATCTTCAAAGAAGTCAATGCTAGTCGTCTCACGTCAAACAAAAGCAACTCCTACGGGGGTAGTTTTCAAGTCTCTTTCAGCTTTTCAAACAAACCTTCTCAATTCAATTTGTTTAGCTTCTAAACTTTGGAACCTCTCACACAAAAAGTAGGTCGAAATCTTGAGGAGTCTTGGTCTTTGGTTTAAACAAAGTAACGCAAAATTGGGAGATACGTACCAGTAATCATCACTAACTCACAAGTGTCATGGCTTTCTTGCCGACACGTAAACACAACTCACCCAACACCGACCCTCTTTGTCATGAAGAATGATACGGCTCTTCTTCTTTCTTTTAGATCATTACAACTCTTAAATTATCATCATAATATTATATATAAAACACACGAAGATAAATGTGTAAGAGACTAATTTGGCGTTGCCCACCAACCTAACTTCCCTTCTACTTCATCTACAACTCGTGTCCACTTTTGTTCAAGATTACTATTATAAACACGCCTCCCGCGTGAAAGTAAAAACGCACTCATCATAAGAAACATACAAACAGAATTCTTCTGGCTTCACTGCCTCTTTGTGATGGAGAAGAAGAAGGACAATCATGGACATGAGGGACATGATTGTATTCCTCCTATCCATATCCAAGTCGTGAAGATCAAGAAAGAGTTTGAGAAGATATATCAGCCTGAGATGCCGAGGGTGCTTCGAGAGATCACGACGAGTCCACGGCGTTCCCGTTCTCCCCTCGGCTTAGGAGAGCGAGACAGACCCATCTCTGTTGGAAATTGATAACAAAAAGAGAGATAAAGATAGGGATCCTTTGTGTATTAGTCTTTACTCTTTATCTTACGATGTAAATATCTTTGGTTAATCTAATGAGTCTCCTGTTCTAATCTATCTTCTCTCGTTTGTTATAATCTTTAAGAGGTAAACAACTAGTTCATAAAGAAATCTCGATCGCTATATGTTTTTTAAATGAAACAAGTTAAATCAGAAAAAAACAAGTAAAGCCTAGAAAATTTACAGGATGATGCTCATTATTTATGAAGCACTTGGTATCTCCTTAGATGATATTAACTTTACCCTTTTTTGTGAGATCTTTCATGACATCTATGATCTTAGATGAGTCTAAGACACAAACCTTAAATTGGGTGGTTGTGTCAACTCCATTCTCTTCTTGAATGATCAGAACATATCTATGAGAGGAAGCATCATGGGAACAAAGATCCACCGTGAAGCTTTTTTATTACCATTTAAGCTAAATGCTAGTTGAAACACTCTAATTAGCAAGATGCATTCACATCTTGGCCTCTAAAAAAAAATGACCACTAGCCTTAACAAATCATCAATTACACCTCTAATGTTAACCTGCTCCCAAAAAACACAACAAATTTTCCATCTTCTAATTTGAATAGCAGAGACTATTGTAACAAATCTTTTATTCACATAACTTTTATACAAAGAACTGAAAACAGAACAGAAGAGTTAAATAATTTTTTTGATAAATTTCAAATTAATACAACCCCAAAGAGGAGGAAGAAGAAGAGAAATGAGCATTGGTTGAGAAACTCTACCACTGAGCTCCCATGACATTATCACGCCTAGATCCCATAGTCATCATAACCTTAAACTCCTCAAAATCAATCATCCCATCTCCATCCTTATCCACACCACCAATCATCTTCCTACACTCCCCGATCGAGCATTCATCTCCAAGACTCCTCAAAACCTCATGCAGCTCCTCAGCCGATATAGACCCGTTCCCATCTATATCATAAACAGAGAACGCATCCTTGAGATTCTCCAACACATCGTCCTGGTCCATCCCTTTAGTGAACAGCTCAACGAACTCCTCCAAGTTTATGTAACCGTCTCCTTTCCTGTCTATCTCTTTTATCGCCTTCTGAAGCTCCTCATCTGGAACCTCGTGGCCTAGACTCGCCATTACAGCGCCTAGCTCCTTTGATGAGATTTTACCGTCTCCGTTTACGTCGAACTTCTTGAACACGGCTTCTAGCTCTCGGACTTCGGTTTTCCCCGAGCGTGCCTTTTGCAAGAACGGCGAGTCGGCCCCGGTGCGAGAGGCCGTGCCATTGGATTCCTTTTGTTTGTTGAACATTGTTTATGTGGAAACAGAGAATCTTGAGTTTGAGAAATATCCGTATTTGTGTGATTTTCGGAGGTAGCGGGAGAATCTCTGAATCACTAGCTATTTTGGGAACATGAATCGTTTTAGTTATTTGGTTTTCATGATGGATGAGATATTTGAAAATGGGATATATAGAGATGGGGGACATGTTAATAATAGGAGTTTAAAGTACTTGAAGGTCGTTATGCATGCGTAAGTATTGCTCTTCCCATCCTCTAAACCGGTTTTTATATAATCAACTAATGGCTGATGGAGACAAAACCGTTTCTATAGAGGTTTGTGACAGCTGTGGTTTAGTAATCGGATCATTGATACATATGTATTTTGGATGGTTTAGAGACCATATTTGATTTTGACCCAAAAAAAAAAAAAAGAAAAAAAAAAAGAGACCATATTTGACTTTTACGTATTAAACACTTACAATTTAGGAGTAAGACAAAGGTTTTGGAAGGATTTTCCAACATCAAGTAAACCTGAACGTGTATAATTGTGTACTTCAGCTCTCGATGGAAGCCAATGCAGCACTGCTTTCTATTTCTATCCAAGTTTCTACGTTACATAAACGTTTTGGATGTCTCTTAAATTCTTGGGCTTTTGGGTTTAACATTTGCTGGTTTTGAGTTTGAACAAAGATGCATTGGCTAGGCTCTCCAAATAATATGGTATCGTTTGTAAGGATTTCAATTAAGACTAGCTGAACCATCCTAGTTGGAACAATTCCCCAAATTTAAACTTTTGACTGGAACAATTATCTTAACTTCTCGAAATAATACGGTTTTGACTTTGATGTCTACCTTATTTGTAAATTCATTACAAGTTCTCTTATATCAATGATAATTAGATGGCTTAAGTCGGTTATATGCTTAGATATACAAATTTAAGCGAAGTTGTTGCCACGTTTGGCTCTATTTATAACTTAATGCAGATAGAGTTTAGTACAAAGTACAAACTAATATACCATGTGCATAGATTCAGGTCTCTGTCTCCCATGAACAAAAAAACAAACAAAATATCATCAATTTGTGGAAGACTTGAAAATAGTTTCAAGAAAATTCTATCATATCTTAAATGACATAAATTTTTGACCAAAAAAAAAAAAAAAAATCTTAAATGACATAAACTATCATATTCTTGACACAAATACATAGTCAGTTAATATATAAGAAGGTACTAATATCACACAACAGATTATAAACACTATGCTATTCATATATATAATCTGTTGTGTGATATTAGTACCTTCTTATATATTAACTGACTATATATCTAAACCTCTGTTTTTCATGAATGAAACAATAAGGAGAATATCATCAATCCGTAGAAGACTTGGGAATAGCTTTGTGAGAACTCTTTAGTATCTTAGATTCTTACAACATCAACTACCATATCCTACAAAATGTGTTCAACATGACATCCTAAAACAAATTTCACTTTCTAGATGTTAAATTAGTTGATGAACCCAACTAGTGGGAGCTGTAATGAAATATTAAAATGTAACAAACTTCATTTTTAAGCTCTAATGAAATATTAAAATGTAACAAACTTCATTTTTAGGCTCTAATGAAATATTAAAATGTAACAAACTTCATTTATATAACAACAAAAGTTTTCCATCAATTTCTGTCATTTGTCTCCCACATACCTTCTCCTATAATTCTAACAATACAAAAATAACACAAGAGATGATGATGATGACCTTACAGTCTCAAGGTAAGATCAGGCTTTGAGCCATTATTATTATCTACTAGACTTTCATTTGCTGCAGCCGAGTTCAGATCAAGATCTGACTCTGTAACAGCCACCACCAAGGGAGGTTCAACTTCCTCAACGACCTGACGAAAACTTCCAGGCCAGAAGAAGTCACTGCCATCATCATAGTCAAAGAACAATGGCACATTGTTACCAAAATACCCTTGCTGATGAAACCTTACAAGCGGAGGAGGAGGATGGGGCTGCTGGGATAAGGTGTGGTGAAGTAGACCGGAGTGAGCTTGCATCCCTAGAGAAGAGGAGGAGTATGTATAAGGCCTGTGATGGTGACCAAACATTCTTCCCATGTACATTGCTCGTTTCGCCATTGTTCGTTCTCGCTTGTGAGCGTTCTGGTGACCTCCAAGAGCCTGAGAGCTATAGAACTTGCGTCTGCAGTAGTTACAGGAGAAGACTCTCGGGTTGGGTTCTTGCTTTGTTCCCTTTTGTTCAACGTTGAAACTATCGTTGAGCTTGAGATCGAGCGAAACAGGGATGGTCGCTTCGGGTTTGGATAGTTCTTGATTTAACGAGGTTTCTCCTTCTCTAGCTGGTAAGTCTCGCGAAGCATCATCAGATTCCGACATTTAATAGAATATTTTTGGTCTTTAATCTGAAAAAATCATATTAAAGTCAAAAGCAGATCAAGAAAACGTTGTAGACCCTAAAATCAACAAATCCAAGAACAGTATAAAGAAGAGACAGTAAGCAAAAGTCTTAACCAGAGCAGCAAGTTCGAAGCCTTAAGACAACCATTCAAAATGAAGCTTTAGAGCTTTAACTATTATGGAGAGAGAGAGAGAATCCAAGACAGCAGTTAAGGATCGTAGACAAGAAGCGAAGACAAGAGATAAAGAAAACAGTTTGGAGTGTACTGTGCTTACAAAGGTTGGTTGAGATCTGGGAAGAGACAGCCGACAGAAGCAGAAGTAGTTGACGTGAGAGCTAAGAGGAGGAAGGAGAATCTAAGATGAGTGGTACTCTTTGTGTTTACCTAAAATGGGTGAATCGAGATGTAAAGAACATAAAAACCAGAGAGAAGAGATAGGATTGGTGAAGGAAAGCAGAAGAATAAGAGGTACTGAAGGAGAGAGAGAGAGTTATGTCTAAACAAATATGGCAAAAGCAAATGTTTTGGAGAGATGTAAATGGTCTGGTGGAAACACATGTGGGAATCTGAAGTCTCTGCCAGTTAGACCTGTGTTTTTTTCTTTCAATAGTTCAACGACCTTTTAATAGAGGGGACCTTTGGCAAAATAGTTATATTTTACTCAATAGATAAAGTTAAAATACATATTTTAAAGAACTATATATAAGTTGTTTACAACTATAGTGGTGTAGCCGTAATAACCAATAGGCGTTGGTATATACACGTCTAACGTAGAGGACCGGCCCTGAAATTTAGGAGGTTTAAAACAAAATAGAAAACGAGAATCAGTATACAACATCACAAAAAATAACAGAAAGAAATTTGTAAAAATACTTTCAAATATAAAGTACTAATAAAACACAAGTTTCCTTACAGAAAAAAACAGTTGTCTAAAATCTTTTGAAACAAATTTAAAGTGGGCTGTATATGATTATTAAAATTTATATATATAATATATAATTGGATTTTTATTTTTTGGAGACCTATAAAATTGGGGGCCTATTGCAAATGTTTCATGAGGCAGTGCTTAGGGCCTATAAACTTTTGAAGTTTTTATTATTTTAAATATTTTTAGTTTATAAATATGTAGTTAAGTGGGAACTTTCATTTTGTTGCTGGAAAATAGTAGGGCGTTACATTTAGGAATTAACTCTAACATTTGTTTTGCATCTCTAACATCTTACAAAACAAGAACAAAACAAACTGTATATTTTTAAAGTATCAAAAAGCATTTATATTGTTCAATTATTTAATCTCTCTCGTCAGAGTTGTTCAGAAAGATTTTCATGAACATTTAATAATTGAATCGCACAGTTGAGTACATAAAATATATAAACAGAAAAAGATAATAGAGCAGCACAAGGCATTTTGATAATGTTGCATGGAGCCCATACATTCATTCCCCCGGCTTACCCTTTTCTATTTGATATGGACATTTCTTTGTGTTTTTTTTCTTCTGAAAATTTACATGTGATTATAAAGACTCTGCTTTCTCTGTCCCTTTTCTATCCAACTTTTTTGTTCCTTTTCATAATGTGATATTTTTTTCCAATACCGTGTGGATGAATTATTGTTACCAGTAAATAACTCGCACGGTAAAATTATACCATTTTCAAATAGGTGAGTGATATTTATTTTGAAGCCTAATTGGATTTTTTTTTCCTTTTATTCTTTAATCATAAATTATGTCTGTTCTCATATTATTTGATCCCCTTGCCATGATTTTAAATTGGTTCATCTTTTTTGTTTTTGTTTGATAAATTCTATCGGCTGATGTGGTCTAAAATTGGTTCATATTTGTAGAGTTTTTCAGTTGTTATGGCATTCACCGAATCTTCAGCTGTTCAATCTTCTTTGAAAAGAGGGTAGGGTGTTGTGCGTTTGGGACAGATCAAGCAAGGGCAAAATCGATATTGGGATTGTGAAAAAACAGAAAGATACTGGTGTCTTCTTATTTCTTTGTCTTTATGCTTTGAGTAATTGGCGAGTGCCCACTTTTGTTCCATTCCCATCCCGACTTGTCTTTGGGCCCTTGGGTACACTTCAATTCATTAGCTTCCACACATTTTCTGCTTCCGTCTACTTGCTTTCCAATCACATTTCACATGATTGTTATGTTGCTGGTAAGAAAATAAAAACTATATGGGTCCGCGCTGTTTTTCTAAGTTCACTAAATTTTGCTTTCGGTTTAGTGGGAAATCTCCATTCATAAGGTTACCAATCTTTCTCACAATAATATTACCGTTTATATTCCAGAAGATCTCACTGAATTACGCAATTTAAAAGCTTTACATGTTTCGTATAATCATCAGTTGTACTGTCCATTTCTACATTTTAGGCTAAATTTAATGTTATAGACGCGAGTAGGAATACTGACATAGGAAACCATGACACTTACTTGGGTCAGATTTATTATTTTCGTTTGGGCCAAAACGAATTGAAGGATGCTATTAGTGATAGGCCTAACTCACACCCAAAAGCTAGCTCAAGAGTGGAGGGTTGCCCATACACTTATATAATGCCCAAAGATCACTAATATATATTAGTGATAGGCCTAACTCACACCCAAAAGCTAGCTCAAGAGTGGAGGGTTGCCCATACACTTATATAATGCTCAAAGATCACTAATATAACCGATGTGGGACACATCTAATAGTCCCTCTCGAGATGTGGGTGGGAAACGGTCCATAGGGAAACAGCCCAAGCCCAACATCTCGGAAATATCACAGCATATGGGCCACTTTTACAGGCTACATAGGTAGGAAACTGTTTATGTGGGAAATCATAATGCTGGGTCAAACCTTGAGCTCTGATACCATATTAGTGATAGGCCTAACTCACACCCAAAAGCTAGCTCAAGAGTGGAGGGTTGGCCATACACTTATATAATGCCCAAAGATCACTAATATAACCGATATGGGACACATCTAATAGATGCTTAACATTCTGGTGACCAAGATGCACTCAAGATTTACATTGAGAAACTATGTTTTGGTGAAAGTAAAAGTTGACTCAGTGGTTACCACGCGCATGTTGTATTGTGATCTCAATACATGGTTTGAGGGATGTTACCGCGATACGTTCAACGAGAAGAACATACTTTGATGTAGGCGTTGACTCCAGACTTCAGTTGTATTGATTGATGCATCATTTGATAGTTTACTTTATGACTTCATTGAAAAACCAATTTATTGTACGATTCGTGAAAAGATGGTGAAGAAAGTGATCAACAACAAAACTACACACCTCTTAAGAGTATTCATCTGACGGCTATGGCCATCGTTTTTTCTTCTTCTTTATTTAAATATAATCTATTTACATATTATGGTGATAATGATATCGGTCTTGATGCTGATTAACTTGGCAAAATCAATGGTTGTAATTCTCTCCTTGCAATAGTGTTTCATTACAACAAATTATTCTCTTGTCTGCTTCTATCCGCTGCATCGATCGATTTTTTGGCGGTTTCCATCCTCTTGCAGGGTCGGCCCAAACCTTGACAAGACCCCATTCAAAATAAATTTTTGGGCCCTTTTCATTTAAGGTAAAAATTTTTTTTTAAAATTTGGACCTTTTTCTTAACCTAAAATATCTCAAAAATATTTTGGGCCCTAAGCCACTGGTTATTTTGCTTGCCCCATGGGCCGGGCCTGTCCTCTTGTTACACTATCTGAAAGTTTATTCATATCACTGATCAAATTCTAAAAACCGAAACTACCATGGCCAGATTTTTTAAAGGGAAAAATGATGTTGGATATTCTCTTCTCTGTTTTCGACGTATCAAAGAATCAACTCAAAAGAGCACCGGTTCAGTGTATTTTTCGATTCATCTCACAGATGATGATAGATGCATTACATCGTCGAGAGAACTTTCCCAACATTGAATTAGTTAAAAAGGAATGGGAAGAATTGTGAAGATCGATCACAATGTGATGTATTATTATGGAAGAGATTCCATCTCCATTTATTGTCTTCGACACTATTTTTGTTTATTGGTTCTTAAACAAGGCAGCTCCCTTGTCAATCAAATTGATCATAATGAGTAAGATGATGGACACGAGTTTAGGAGTGATACAGGGAAACCTCACCATATCACAAGGTGGAAGGTTAATAAAACCACTTCAAAAATTTTAAGATATGGAATGGAAAACGGTAAAGGAAATGGTAATAGAAGTCGTTGAGGCCGCGGATACCACCTTCCATTTTCCAAGTAGTTTCATCTTTTTCTTGTTTCGTTAAACTTATGTATCAATTAAGTCTTCTCTTTTGTAAGCTAATGTTTGGTTGAATATGAGATTGTCTCATCATATTATCTCAAACTTTATGGTTGTTAAACCATACATTGTATGTATTTTGTTTTTAAATTTGAAAGTCTTTTTGCAAACATATATGTATATATGTAATATGTATAAAATAATTATTTTTATATGCTATTTAAAATATTTCAATAATTTTAAAAACATCCAAAATTAAATTAAAATATCTATAGATTTTTTTAATTATGATTGACTCATTTATTTAATATTATAAATATTTTCTTTTATTTTACAGATTCTATAGTCTATAAAAAAGATTTTTTATCAAAAATATATAAGAAAAAATTGATTTTAATTTTTTTTTTGCTGAAGCTTTAAAACTAGAGTTAAAGTATCATTGATTTAAATTAATAGAAACTTGATGTAGTCTTTAATATTTAAATATAAAACTAAAACATAATTGATAAAGTTTATTGTTTTAAAAACAAATAAAACTAAAATAAAGAGATTTCAACCAATCGCTCCCATTAACTTGTAATCTCTAATTTTTATTAGTGAAATTTGTTTTGGTCCGTCATAAACAAAAAAAACTTTTATTTCCTAAACCACAAAAACATACGCGCCTTTGAATCACTAGCTGTCTCTTTCCATTTACTCATTGGCCAGAGAAAAGGAAACAAATCTTACAATTGAGTAAATAAATAAAGAAAAAGATAGCATTTCCCTCGCTTAAATATAAGTCAAATTTGATATTTCCAAAGCAATAAATCTACCGTTTCGTTTCCTCCTTGCCCACTAAACAAGAACAAAATCTCCACAAAATAAACTCCTTCCTTAACTCTCTCTCTCTCTCAAAGTTTCAAAACCCTACTCAACGCCTCCTTTGTTTGTAACGTGAAGATTCTACAAACTGATCATGAAGATAACCATCGCGAGAGTTTTGTTTTGTCTCCTTTGTTCCATCGCCTTGGTGTACGCGCAACCAAGTCCCGATCTAGCCACCATGAACGCTCTAAGAGACTCCCTCAAATTTCCGAAAGACTTCTCCTGGACCGGACCTGATCCATGTAAGTGGAGCGGTCTACAGTGCGACACAAGCAACCGGATCACTCGGATACAAATCGGTAATAAAGGAATCTCAGGAACGTTAACTTCTGATCTCAACACCCTCTCTTCCTTAACTGTTTTCGAGGTCATGGGCAACGCGTTAACCGGAGAGATACCTAGTCTTTCCGGTTTAACCGCGTTGGAAACCATAAACGCTCATGACAATAGCTTCACTTCGATCTCTCCCGATATCTTCACCGGTTTAACATCTCTTCAAAACGTGTTTCTTGACGATAACCCGTTAAGTCCTTGGGAGATCCCTTCGAGTTTAAAGAGTGCGACATCTCTCGTCGACTTCTCCGCTTCTAACTGTAGTCTCTCCGGGAAGATACCTGAGTTTCTTGGCGGACAAACGTTCCCTAGTTTAAAGAAGCTGCGTCTCTCTTCCAACTCCCTCTCCGGTGAGCTTCCCTTGAGCTTTGCTGACTCACCTGTCCAAACCCTACTTCTCAACGGACAAACGCAAAAGTTCAACGGGTCAATCTCGGTTCTACAGAACATGACGTCTTTAACCGAAGTGTCTCTGCAAGGAAACGCCTTCTCAGGTCCATTACCGGACATGTCACGTCTTGTCTCTCTGACAAAATTCAACGTCAGGGAGAATCAGCTTACCGGTGTAGTTCCATCGTCTTTCACTGAGTTGCAATCTCTTTCCGTGGTGAATCTGACTAATAATCTTCTTCAAGGACCAACACCAACCTTCAAGGCTATAAGCATTGCTACCGATATTACCCCGGGGCTTAATAGTTTCTGTTTAGATTCTCCGGGTGTGCCTTGTGATCCACGTGTCAACACTTTGCTTTTGATTGTTGAAGCGTTTGGTTACCCTGTGAGATTTGCGCAGAGTTGGAAAGGAAACGATCCTTGTGGTGGTAAAAACATGTGGGTGGGGATTACTTGTGCTGGAGGTGATATCACAGTTATAAACTTCAAAGGGATGGGACTTAAAGGAACTATCTCTCCACGCTTTGCGGATCTTGCTTCTCTTAAGGTTATCAATCTCTCTCAGAACAATCTCACCGGTGTTATTCCACAAGAACTCGTTAAGTTGAGTGCCTTGACGACTTTGGATGTTTCAAACAATCAGTTGTATGGTAAGGTACCTGTGTTTGGTCTTAATGTAGTAGTCTCGAATGGGAACCCTAACTTAGGAAAAGATGGACCTGGTTCTGGTTCGTCTGGTTCAGGAAGTAATAATGCTGGGAAAATTGTGGGTTCTGTTTTTGGAGTTGTGTTGGGTTTGCTTCTCATAGGGTTGGTTGTTTTCTTAGTGGTCAAGAAAAGGAAGCAGAACCGTAAGATGTATCCACAGAAACATTCTAGTGAAGAAGATGCATTCAAGATTACAATAGATAATCTATATGGTGGTGGTGGAAGCGAGAATGGTAGCCAGGCTCCTCTAGTGGAAACTAGGAACCCTGTGTATTCAATACAGGAGCTGAGGGATGCTACGGATAATTTCAACGAGAAGAATATACTTGGAAGAGGCGGATTTGGAATAGTTTACAAGGGGGAGTTGCAAAGTGGGATGACCATTGCGGTTAAGAGAATGGAATCTTCGGTTATAAGTGGAAAGGGTTTAGATGAGTTTAAGTCAGAGATTGGTGTTCTGACCAAAGTTGTTCATAGGAACCTAGTGAGACTTCATGGATATTGCTTAGAAGGCAATGAAGGGCTTTTAGTTTATGAGTACATGCCGCAAGGAACATTGAGTAGTCATATTTTTCACTGGGAGGAAGAAGGGTTACAACCGCTAGAATGGTCTAGACGGTTGATTATTGCGTTGGATGTGGCTAAAGGAGTAGAGTATTTGCATAGTCTAGCGAATCAAAGTTTCATACATAGAGATCTCAAGCCATCCAACATTCTTCTTGGAGATGATATGCGTGCCAAGGTTGCTGACTTTGGTTTAGTCCGGCTTGCGCCAGAAGGTGCACAATCGATTGAGACTAAAATTGCTGGGACTTTTGGTTATCTTGCACCAGAATATGCAGGTATATATGGTTTTATATGCTTATGTCTTTTGTTACTTGTACTTGAACTCACCAAATATTGAAAGATTTATTATGTCATTGCAGTGACTGGAAGAGTTACAACAAGGGTCGATGTTTACAGCTTTGGAGTCATTCTCATGGAGCTACTAACCGGTCGAAAAGCTCTTGACGTTAAGAGATCTGAAGAAGATGTGCACCTAGCCACATGGTTTAGGAGAATGTTCATCAACAAAGACTCATTCCCAAAGGCAATTGACAAAACAATTGAGATCGATGAGGAGACACTTAGAAGCATCAACAAAGTAGCTGAGCTTGCTAGTCAATGCAGTGCCAGGGAACCACATCAGAGACCCGACATGAGTCACGTGGTTCACGTGTTGGCCTCACTCCTTGACCAGTGGAAACCAGATGAAGATGTCTCCGGAAACGACTATGACACACCTCCTCCTCTTTTGGAGATGATAGAGGGAGTTAACTCATCTTTCTTTGGAGATAAAAGTCTGACGAGTATACCGTCGCCACCAACCCAGATTGACAAAACATTTAGATCAGGAAATGGGAGGTGAGTGTGTTAGAGAATTAGATGAAGGAGAAATTAATGTTTTGTTGTTGGATGAGATCTTAGGGTTACGGATTGTGAATATCTCTCTTTGGTTACCTTTATTCTCAAGTTAGGGTTTGCTTTTGTGGGAATGTAACCCGTGTCATTGTCTACTACAACACATCCTGTCATTATAAATTTGTCATTGCCATCGACTCCAGAGTTTAGTTTTATTGATTTTAGTAAGAAACAAATGCATGGATATTGTGTACTCAAAAGATCATCTCGCTACCAAAAGTGTAACCAATGAGCCCATCGGCCGGTTTATAGTTTCTCGCCCACTTAGAACACAGGATGTAAAAATCGGCTCACACAGTTTCCAAGAAAAAAATTTAATATAAAAACCTATTTTTTATGAACCTGTATAATTTGAGCTCGTTGAGATAAACATGTATCAACACTATTTGCGAATTCCACTGACATATGGCATTCTACGATTGGTTGGTTTATTAATTTTTTTTTATAAAAAACAATAAAACGAAAAAATTACAGTAAACAAAAGTAGATTTTGGGAATCAAGATTCGGGGAATTCACCAATAGGGATGCTCTTATTAGGCGACTTTAGTGTGAAGATAACAAGACTCCTCTTTACCCACGTCAGATCATCTTCTATCCACATATTTGTATCTATAATTATATTTATAGATAAATCTAAGTCAGTGGGTGGTTCGGAACCACATAGAAGTGGTTTTGAACCATAGCAAAAGAGCCTTTTCAAATGTGGTTTGTCTGGAGGATGCAAGACTAATTACACTGCTAAGGGCTTTTGAGAGTATGACCAGTATGCAATATGAGAAGATGATCTTTGTTGGTGATTTTAAGGAACTGTTCTTGGCGATGAGGAAGCCACATGATTGGCCAGCTCTCAGCTACCAAATAGGGGAGATGAGTAGGATACTTGCGTTGATGGAGGAGTACCAACTCAAATATGTGACTGTACAAGAAAATAGAGGGGCGCCGTTCATTGCTCAAAGCGTTATGAGACATGGGAGAAGTCAATCGTATGTGGCGTGTAGTCACTCGACGTGGTTCTTTGAATTCTTTGTTAATGAAAGTCGCTCTCTCTAATCTCTTTTGAGAGATGAGGTTTTTACCTTATTGTAGGAGGGGTCTTTGTTTTGACCATTGCTGTTGTTGTGTTCTGGTTTTGGACCAGAGTGGTAGTAGGATAGGGCTGTAGTATGTTCCTCGTAACACAAACTTCTATTAACATTATAAGATTTCTCAGTTGTTAGTGTTTCAAAAAAAAAAAGATAAATCTATGTCATATTTGTTTAAAATAGAAATTGCTTTTTTCGTATAATAAATAGAATAAAAATATCAAATTTTATTTTTTACTCAATAAGTAAAATTGTTATTTTAAAATAATACATTAAAATAAAAATTTATCACTATTATAAAATTCCTCTATTTTATACCATTGTAAGCCTATGACTGAGAAAATGCACCTTCCAGTGTTGTTACGGTTGGACAAGCACACCATTCCGATCCTATGGTTTCAACCGTTATGGACTTTGATTAGTATTCTTAATTAAGTTAGGGGAATGGAGTGGTTTGAAGTTGATGTTTGAGTTAAAAAAAATCCTATATTTTAGTGGCAAATTTATCAAAATACATTGAGAATGGTCTTCATATCAAACAAAACATAAAATATAAGCTGTAGCATAAGAGAATGACCATGGTTTCTTACTGCTTCAGGTTTGGTAATTCGTTTATGCTGATTTTGTAAAAGTAGTTTCTTGTTGGATACACGTTTCTTAGTGTTGTCAATATCCCTGTTTGTGCATAGGAATATAAACTGCAAATTAACCTGTTTCAAGCCCTAAGAGAAGGAATATTAAGAGGGATAACCATGTCTCATCTGTAGAGCCAGGATAATACTCTCAAATGCCACATCAATCATCTTTATCAATCTGTGTTGGACCATCATCGTATAAAGGCAGAAAGCGAAATAGCAGTAGTACGATTCAACATGGAAGTTATCTTTTAGAGCCAAACAAGATGGCTCGCCGTGATCCTGACCAGTATCCTTAAAAATAGAGAGCCTCATTATTAACTTATATAATCTCTCTGCCTGAGTTTACAACATGAAAAATGCCTTATATGATGAGAATTGATGGTAGTAAAATCACAATTTTGTTCGTTCGAATTTTAGTTTAAACATATCTTTGATCGACATGTTTCATTCTCCGTATACAGTATATTCTGTTCCAACAACAATCTTGGTTTTGGCACAGGCTTGCTCGTTTGTCGATGAATCTTTCCTTTGTCATTATTAGTTTTTCCGAGCGTTACTATTAGTTTGTGTGTTAACATTCAAATCTAAAGCGTATAATATCAGAGTTTGTTTAATGAGCAGATTATTGAATTATTGTATTAAAACACTTGTATTTCATAAAAAGATGGAAAATTTTACGATTGTTTAAACGAACAGGCAAGTTCTCGTCTTAAGATCACATTCAGAAAACGAGTTCAAAAACCGAAAGATGAGTTAAAAACTTGTTTGGCGCCGCAAAATTGTTTACACTTAGAGCATCGAGTAATGACTTTTTTGTTTGTCACTATTCCATTTCACATTCCATTTTGCATTAAAATTATGGAGTGGAGTTGGACTAAATAAACTTTGAAATCTTTTTTTATTTATTTCGAAACTCTTCAGTTCAGGTCTCCAATTTTTTTCAGCATATTGAAATCTCAGGAGAACGAAAGTTTTAACATCATTAGAGTAAACCAAGAAAACACCTTAAAAGTTAATCCAAAAACAAAATCTCTTCAGAAAAAAAATCAGTAAAACATAACCCAAAAAATGTTAAAAAGTTTGCTTTCACTCAGTTCAGGTCTCCATAAATTTTCCGCAAGATTAATCTCGGAAGAACGAAAGTTATGTTTTGATCATCATCGGAAGCAATTAAAAACAACATTTAATATAGCAGTGAAGATGTATTCAAGATAAAACTTTTCAAAACCAAAAAATTGGTTGATAGAAAGACATCAAAAAATTCATAACTCAAAAACGAAAGTAAAAGATGAAGAATATGAATAAGCGACGACGGTTGTGTTGTATTTACGACCTCATTGGTCTTCACTTCGCTATTTATATGCCACTGGGATTGTGGGAGACAGAGTTATGACTAAACCCTAGCTTAATCTTTGGGTCATATCGGCCTATAATGGGCTTTTAGTATTTGGGTTACAGAGATGTACCTATATCTGCCCATAATTTTTTCCCGAGTTGTTTTTTTAATAACTTTTTTTTAGTTGGCGTTCAAAAATATTTTTTTTAGTTATATTTAAAAATGAGAATGATGGTTACCAGGTTATGTATCAAATTTATAGAATACCGATTAAATCCATCCACGTGAGTTATGCCACTAGGGCACTAAACCATATGTATCAATTTAATAATCACAGGGTAGTGCCAATTATTGATATCATGATTATGCCACTAACCATATGTATCAGATTTTGAGATTTTCTTTAAATTAAACTTACAGTTATACTTTTTTTTTCATAAAATGTAACTTTATGACTTTATTGTAAAGAGATTGTAAAAAACAAAATACAAAAGTGTAGTACTAAAGCTATACATATTCATAGGCATAAGTTCAAGGCATCACGATATTGAGCGAGATATGGAAAATTTGATTCCGACCAAAGGAATTCTCAAGAGCGAGGCTCTCCAAAAGGTATCGTTTTCATTAAACCCTGTAGACATTGCTTACTTTATTTTGTTAGAACTTAAATTCTTGCTTGATCTGCAGAACTAATCTATTTTTGTCCGACGAGAAAAAGCTTGTGTCATTTAGTGATTAAGGTTGATGTTGTATAAGACGGCTATAGTTGTGAATTATGACTTGTGATATGTGAAACAGTACATCTTTGAAACGACGGCATATCCAAGAGAGCATGAAGAGCTCAAGAAACTACGAGAAGCTACGGTCCATAAGTATGGCAAGTTGTAAGTCTGGCTACAACTAGTATTTTCTGAGAGTCTATATGATCATACCCTTATTCGTTCTAACAGAATTCAAGTTTTACAGAGTTAATTGAATTGTTTTTATGATCATACCCTTATTATTTCTAGATATGTTCCCAACCTTGTACCTTCCATTTGTAAATTGTGTTTGAAACTTTTGAAACAAAGCATTTTTTTTTTTTTTTTGTAAAATCATGTTTCTTAAGCGTAACTAGCTATATTTTTATCATTTACGTTCATACTAATAAAGGTTAGTATCATTTGAATACAAAGACAAACAAACAATAAAGACCTAAGTCAACTATATTTGCTTAGATCGAAATACATTAAGTGAATCAAATCAAGAATTATAGTATTATACTAACAAAGAAAAAGTATTTGCGTTTATATGTGTAGAAGCGAGATGGAGGTACCAGTTGATGAGGGGCAGCTTTTAACGATGCTTATAAAAATGATGAATGCCAAGAACACGCTAGAACTCGGTGTTTTCACGGGATATTCGTTGCTCACGACGGCTCTAGCATTGCCTGAAGATGGCCGTGTACATATATTCATGCAACACTATAATCATTAATTACCAAAAATAAATGATAACAACTGCTAACATCTATGAACTGTTTGGATATATACAGATTACTGCAATAGACATTAATAAACAAGCTTACAAGTTGGGTCTAGAGTTCATAAAAAACGCAGGTGTTGATCACAAAATCAATTTCATTCAGTCCGATGGTCTTCAGGCCTTAGACAAGATGTTGAGCGTACGTAATCTCATTCATGTTTTTTTATGTTTTTGTTATATTACTATTAGCAATTATTATTTTGTTATATTTTTATGATGATGACATTAATTGGTTTATGCATGCATGATGGTGGACCACAGGAGAATCCAAAACCGGAGTTTGATTTCGCATTTGTTGATGCTAATAAGACAAAGTATGCCGACGCATACGAGAGACTAATGAAGCTGGTGAAGGTTGGGGGAATAATAGCTTTTGATAACACATTGTGGTTTGGGTATGTGGCTGAGGAAGAGGAGAGTGTGCCAGAGCATTTGAGGTTGTGCAGAAAAGCCCTCATGGAGTTGAACAAACAGCTTGCTTCTGATCCTCGCATAGAGCTCTCTCAAGTCTCCATTGGTGACGGTGTCACTCTCTGCAGACGCCTTGTGTGATTCAAGAGACTCATCAAAATACCAAAGTTTTCCTTAGTTTTTATTTAATTAAAGCTGTAAGAATCTATCATGTTCTGTGTTCTTTTCCGGTGAGATGGGTTCCGGTTTGTATGTGTTGAATAATGCTAAATCATTTATATTAATCACATATATTAGCAAACTCAACATATAAACGAATAATTACACAAACTGATAGTAGAGTTATAACAAATAAGGAAGCAGAGGTACACACACTCTCTCTACAGAGAAACAATACACAGCTCTTTAAAACCTATACACCCAAATAAACTAAATTAAAGTGTGACGAAAATATAGCCAAAAGGTCAACATTTCTCTCAGCTTTTCTTCTTCTTCACCCTGTAACCAGTTTAAACCCAAACCTACTCTCTTTACTGAGTTATATAAGTGTGAAGATGGGATTATCAGCATGTTAAGTTATATGGTGATAAAATAAAGTAAAAGCAAGTGCATGAAATTAGATGTATAAGGTTAACCAACTTGATAACAAGAGCCTATAAGACTCTTTCACTTGTTATTTGTGGAATATCATCTCACTGGGTACTCTTCGTTAAGCTGCTTCTTCCAGCAGCTCTGCACAAATCCAAATTTTCACTACCAAATTATATAAACGGATCATGATTGACCATGAAGTGAGATTATGTAGTAAAAAAGTAGTTAGATATACCTTGCAGCAAGAATCTGAGCGATGGTAGATGAGCTCTTGCTATTTGAAAACCTTTTGGCTCTATTATCCTGATCTTTCTCCACACGCATTGCAGCAACTTCTTTCTCCATCGTAGGTACTTCCCTTCTCATCTTCTTTGCTTCAACCTCCATTGCTTTTGTTAATGTTTCCACCTTTCTCGCTAGCATCTACAAACATACATCATCCATTTACAGATTCATATCCGCATAAAAGAAACAAATGAAGAAACTCTACCTCTATGGCATCATCCTTGTCTCTGAGGCTTTGATCCTTCTCATGAGAGGCTTTCCTCAAAGAAACTACTTCTTTCTGCAGTAAATCATACAGAACACCTGGGACACTATCCTCACTTGTTGCTGCTGCTGCAGGGTTTTCACTTTGTGGCTTCTCCTCCGAACTTTCTTTCCAACCATTAGCTGACTCTGGTTCCTTAGAGTCATCAGAAGAAGCCTTGTTGAAAGAATAGTTCCCAGGTCCGTTTAAGAGTGCTTTGCCTCTGTCCAAAGATCTTGTGCCTCCATCAAATGACTTAGATGTTCCTTTAGCATTCTTTAAAACAGAAGTTGAGTTAATAGACAAGGAATGTCTCATCTGAAGACTTGGAGCTTTCTTTGAAAATGAACCGTTTGATGGAAACTTTTGTAAGTTGTCAGATCCACCAAGTGACTGTCTACGAGATGGTCCGTTACTCATGCTTCTTGTCTCGGATAAGTTTCTTGTTATGGTGCTGCTACTGCTTGAAGTTCCTTTAAGTGTCTCCTCAAACACTTTAAGCCGCTGTTGAAACTTTTCCTAGTAATTGCACAAAACAAATATTTGTTTTTACTTGCTATTTTATGTTTAACACAGATTAAATGAGAGAATATAAGTACTAATTCATAAGATCGGTTACTTACTTTTAACTGTGCTTCAGATTTAGCAGCTCGATCTGTTATGACAAGTTTATCACGAAGTTGTTGCATTTCTCCCTGCAAAGAGTAGAGAGAATCATGAGCTGAGAATGTTGACATCATCCTAAGAATCTAGGAGAGGGGATTAAAACCTGTAGAAACCTTCTTTCTTCAAGCCATTGCTTCACAGGCATCACTTTATCATTCATCTCTTGGACTTTCCGTTGATAATCTCTCACTGTATTAGCGGTAGCACCACCAGCAAGAACATCCTCTTCCAGCTCTCGAACGGTCTGAGTGAGCTTTTCAACTTCAGCAACCTTTTGTCTATGCATTTTGTCTAGGATTTTGTTTTCTTCCTTAAAAACAAAAATATATAGTTAATCAGATTGATGGAACACTACATGTAGATCCCACAAGAATTAGATGATAACACTATAGAAACCTGACGGATCTCTATTTGTTTCATTAACTCCTGGTTCTTGTTTTGAAGATCATCAACCATGGCTGATTTTGCCAAGGCACCTTGAATGGTCTTTTCAGCGTCAAGTAAGGCAGCTTCTTTTGATTTAGTCAGACGGTCTAAAGCTCTGTTATCTTCTTGAAGCTTCCCAATCTATCCAAGGGGAGTTGGTGAGTGAGTCACAGACTCACAAGCAAATTAGAGATTTGTAAAAGCAAATGGACATACCTCTGACCGTGCAAGCTTAAGTTCAGCTTCTAATGGAGCAAGGATGGCTTCAATAGGAGGCATGTCATCATCCTTTTGAGCAGCATGGACCCTTCTTAAGGTGGCTTCAGCAGCAAACTGAGCAGCCATTGATGCTTTCTTCTCTTCATTGATTTTCTTGATTTCTAGATTCTGCACCAGGGATATAGTATCATACGTCTATTAGTATAAATAAAATTTAACGTGGACATGGCCGAGCTTAAGGAAAGATATTAGAGCAATACTTTGCTTTGGAGAATGGATTCTGTTAATTTCAGCTTCTCATCTAACTTTGCAAGCTCCTCTGTAAGCTAATATTCCCAACAAAAAAAAAGGAAAGAGAAGTATGAAAATTCACATGCAACAACTTTGACCAGGAAAGAGAATTTATGTATACTAATCTCTGACTTATTCAGACAGAAAAGTCTAAAAGCAAAGACATGATGTAATAACTGACCAAACACGACGTGGCAGTAAAACACACAGGCCCGTCTTACCATTATAATGGACCCATGGAGAAAAAAAATTTTTGGACCCTTTTTGTGAAGAAAAACAAATTTTTAGACCCATTTTCTTTACAAATTTATATGATTTTAATATGGACCTTGGGCTTTTGCCATGTTTGCCCTGCCTCTAAGCCGGCACTGAAAACACATGATGTAATAATAATTTGAAACGAACACAAGACATCAAACCTCTTCGACAGCTTTCTCTCTCTGTCTATCAGATAACCTTAGCGCTTTGATCTCGGCGTGTGCTTCCCCCAACTCTCGATCTTTGTCTGCATGATCCAATAGAGAAGAAACCAAAACATCAGGCAAAAAAGCAGAATGTTATCAACGCATAAGAACGAGCAAGCATTTGTTTTTAAACCTCTAACTTCGTTCTCTAGACGATTAAGCTCCACCTTCACTGGATCCGAGCCATGCAGCATAGTGATGAGCTCATTGTCGGCCGCCGCTGCGTCGATGCTTGGCCTAGTTGGCCTTCGCTTCGAGGAGCTTTTTCCTCCGCTGCTCTCCTTGTAAGACGCAGACACTGTTGCTTGCTCCGTCGGCGATGTATCCGACATCTCCGATCTCTTAGGATTCGAGATGCTGGACAAAGACACCTATACAGACTGACATATGCCAGCAAAAAAGAGTATCAGCACTGAACTGAATAATGCTGAGTTCAAGAGATAGAGAGAGTAATGACAAATTTGCAGATTATTAGGAGCCACACGAGGAGAGAATGATGCTATAATCTAGAGAAAGAGTTGAGAACTCTTTCGTCTTCTTCTTCTTCCTTTTATTTTTCAAGTGAAATTAGAGAGAAGAGAGATTTAAATGATGTTACAGTTGTCTCTCTCTCTCTCTTTCTCGATTAGATTTTGACAAGACACGAGAGGGTGACGCAGGTTTATATAGTAATCTAGTATCTCTTAACTTAATCACGGAGTTTGAACATGCTACTTTTCAGATTAATCAATAAACTAAGTTTGAAAATCGGGATTAGTACCATACTGTTTTTATTTAGTAGCTTACAGTAATTTGTGTCGCCTCATTGTTTATGTGTGTGTTTATAATATAAAAAGTGATATTATATGGAATAAATCTAAGTTTTGTAGAGGAAAATTCTATGGAATAAATCATAAGTGTTTATATCTGAATATCATAAGTGTTTTTTTGAGAAAAATATCATAAGAGACTTTCTAAAAAAAAAGGATATCATAAGAGTTTTTTTCTTTCTTTTTTTTTTTTTTTATCATAAGAGAGTTTGTTTGGAGATTTTATGACAGAGTTATTTTTTGTTTAATTTAGTGAACATTTTAAGTTTTTATTAAGACTAAAAACAGATTCTCTTTTAAAATTTTGTTTTGTTTTTACACTCCTTAAGAAATATAGTATTATTTGTTGAAAAGCAAACACCATTTAGTCTTTATTTTACGTAACTTTTAATATTATAGACGATTTATATTATGGTAAGATTAAGATGTATGATATTAGGGATGATGAAAATACGATGACGTGGTCAATATGTATTAGTATTAGTTATCTGACTAGAGATTATTAGTAAGAAGAAGGTGTAATTAGTAAGAAATTCAATTAGTAAATAGTGAAGATGCTTTGCGCGTAAAAAGAGAGAAAATGTTCGATGTCCCAAATATTTGTTTTTACTTTTTCCTTTTCTCGAGGGGTAATGCTTCTTCTCTTTTTTCCCAAGTAAAGGTTAGTTGGGTTCCATACCCTTCGTAAAAACTAATGAACGACGTTAAGAAAAGTATATGAATTGGGGCAACAGCTATTTTTACTACAATGTAGAATCATATTCTTCGAGATCACTCGAGAAAATCAGTATTAAATTAGGAATAAAGATTATATGATCATTTTCATAGATGTCATAAACAGGCCCGTCTCAAACATAATTTAGATCCTAAACTAATATTATTATAAGATCTATTCTTTATACAATTTTTTTTTTATAAATGAATCTTTTATCCAAGTTAAAAAGATCAAAAATATAATGGACCTAGTGCAAATGCATCCTCAGCACTGGGCCACAACCATGTCATAGACGCAAATAAATGTCTATTTTGTTGACTAGAAAAACATTTGTTTCATACCCTTGAATCATATGTAAAGTTTTAAAAAACCTAGAAACAGTAGAATATAGTTTAATGTAGAGGTTTTTTTTTTTTTGTCAACTGAATACTTAAAATTAAAAAGAAAAGGCCTCATGCCCAATGTATAGCCCATAGCAGGGGTGATTACACATGATCCCTAAGGATATTTTTAACTAAAACATCGACTTGTGAAAGATGAAGTCGGGAGAGATGAGAGAAACGGAGGTTTGTTGAAAATCTTTTACGATTCCAAATATCTCCTTGACCTGTGAGTCGTTGTTGATTGCTCTGATGAGCGTTGAGTTGCCAGAGATCATCTTAATCGACAATTGATCAAGATTCACTGCTGCGATGAGTCCCAATCTGATGGCCAATGCTTTGGCTACGATCGGGGAAGTGACGAAGCTCTCTATCGTTGATCCTTGTTTAAGTATTGCTCCTGAGTTATCATAGAGGATCAAGGCTAGTTCCGCCTTGTTCGTTGCTTTTTTCCAAGCCACATCCAGCCATGTAAGAAGAAGGTTAGCGAAACAGTTCACTGCTGTGAGATTGGTGGATCGTAACGCTAGAGCCTCTGCTACCAACGGGGAGCTTACAGTGTCATGCGTGGTTGATCCTCGAGTTTTGCTTGTTCCGGACTGTCCCGTGAAGATCCAGGCTTTGGCTATGCTCCTTGAAAAGCTAAATTTGGCTATGCAGTCCATTAAAAAAGCAAGAACAGCTTTAATATTGATGATGATAATCCGGGAGACTAGGTGAATCTCAACAGGGCCGGAGATCATATTGTTCAGCAAGAAAAACAGTGAGACAGTTGCATACGCGAGACTAAGGCTAGACGATGATGACCGATGTATGCTGTCTTGGTTTGAGAGCGGGGATGGAAAATCCACTAAGGTGTCTTGGTGAGAGAGAAATTTGCCTTGAGTTTTGGTTCTAGAACACTCGTTGGAATGAGCATAGGATGTTGATTCCATAAAAACAAGATTCTCTGTCACAGTTCTTGGCTTGGTTGAAAAATGGCTGACCTTGACTTCACATCCTTGAGAAATAAGCTTGATGATATGTGATGGGTAGGCGGTGGTTGAGTTCAAACAGGGACTCCATCCTCCAACATTACCGTGTTGGGTCCAAAGGTCTGTGGAAACTAAACCTAGCCGCTTTTCATCATTCTTTATCATGCTAACCATGAAAGACCAAGTACCTTGAAGTACAGAACTTGTGAAACTGAGCTCAGTGAAGTTGTTGTGTTGTGTAGTGGTCAGGCTGAGATAGAGCCTACAACTAGGAATAGTTAACCAGTCTGGATCAAGAACTACTCCTTAAAATGACTAAAACACACACAATTCTCTAGAGAACTGGAGGCTTTCGACTATAATATTCATAAAGACTTTGAGTGATCACGTAACAAAGAGAAAATCATCAATAACATACAGTACATAGTTTGTATCTATTAGTATTAGCTTGTCCAGCAAAGATTGGATAGTGAAAACAAGGAACTTTCAACATTCTATATAAATTTCATGCAATGCCTTCATATTCTTTTCGCAATTTTGGAGTCAACAGATTAGAATCATATTTGCATGGGAACTGGGGGGCTTTGATTGCTTTTCAGAGTAATCTGTACTGAAATTACAATGAGAAATCTAAATTCTTGTACAACAATTTTGATGTGTCCCACTTGTGTAAAATATTGCCGAAGACATCGTAAAAAACGATACCCATTTCAGTTCTAGTGATTTTAACCGACATGAAACCTTGTCCATCGTAGAAATATTTCATATCTTCTGGGGTTGTCCAGTTGTAATAGCCTCTCCATGCCTTTGACCCACCACCACTCGTTAGAAACTGAATCGGACTGCAAAAGAAAAATAAAAAAAAATATAATCAAGTGAAGTTCACACCCTTCTATTTTATATTATCTACTTCATCCAAAATAAACGTTAGTTTCTGTATAGCAATCGATGTTACCTTTGAGATGTACTGATATGTTGCAAGCAATGATCATGACCGTTCACATAGAGATCAACGTTATTTGCCTGGATAATAATAAAAAATACATGTTAATTTAGATTGTTTATTCTCTCAACGAACTCACAATTTTTGGTATATACTAAACAAAAGAGATCTATATATTAGTTGCCAACCAAAACTATCAATTCGTTTGCATTTGTGTTTCTTACAAAAGAATTATTAAAAGATGAACACATTAATTTATATTTTCTTAATTGTATATATATATTCTAAATATAAAGACAAATGCATAAGTTAGCTTTGTTTTAAGCTACGTTGGAAACGATTGAGAGTATGAAGAAAATGAACCTCAAGGATAGGTAAGAGCAAAGATTCAAGCTCTTTGGTATTCCCATGAATGGAAGCACTCTTAATGGCATGATGACCCACCACAATTTTCCACTTTGCTTTTGATTCTCTTAGACTCGTCTCCAAGTCCTACACATTACAATTGACATTTGTGATCGCCATCAGGATCTAATCCAACAAACTGATTGTTAAGACATTTATTATGTGTTCTCAAATACCGTTAAAAGGGTTTGAAGATAGGATTCTCGTGGTGATACACCTCCCCAGTCGTAATTATGGCCTTCAGAATTAATGAAATAAGCATCGACGAAAGGAGTTGTGTCTACAAAGAAGAGCTCTGCAATCTCTGCCAGAATTTTCGAGCCATATAGTATATAGTTAGGTCTAACAACTTCATGTAAACATTAGACTATATCTAAATAATGTGACTCGTACCAGCGTCTACGATGAAGGATCTCATGCAATTCCAACGGCTGTCTATTAATCTGAGGGCAGGACTCAACTGTGCTTCAACATCTCCTCTGTAGTCGTGATTCCCGAGTACTGAGTAGAATATGAACATTGACAAAACTATATTATTCTCCGTAATTACTGTTGAATAAATGTAATTAGTGGGGGAATTATTACCAAGGTACCAAGGCTTTAGCAAGCTAGGAGAAGTGTAGATATTAGCGAAGGAGATTTTAAAGGCAGGATCGTCAATGCTTTTCATCCCGTCATCGTATATGTTATCACCCGTTGAAACCACAAAATCGATGTCCATCTTCTCCCCGATTCTCCCCATCTACATTTTTTAATGAAACAACTTTATAATATACAATAGAGATGGGTGTCTCTATATGAATATGGAGTGTAAAAATAGAGAGACCTGATGGGCAACTTTGGATTGATTATAAAGTCCACGTCTTCCCCAGTCTCCAACCACCAGAAAACTGATCGAGCCATCAGATTTTGTAGCTTGTTTCACCGTTGTTAGCTCGGCCTCAAGATTTGGAGCGAAAGAAAGAAGCAGAGCCAGTGCAATGCTCAAAGAGCCGATTCCAAACTTAGAATCCATTCTATCTTTTTTCTTAAGGATCTTGTGTGATAAAAACTTTTAAATCAACACTTATATAGTGGACTATGCATGTGAGTCGTAGTGGTTTCTCGCTTGTAAGTCACAATAGATAGTATTTTCCACATGGTTTCACATGGTGGACCAAACAAAATTATATATGCTCTATATATAGCTGTTTTGTCAAGAATATACTTTAATAACTCACTACAAGAAATTATCGCGATTCTGAGGGAAATTTTCGTCGGTATGTCGTCGGAATTAAGGAATTCCGGGGACATACCGACGATTTCGGTCGTCGGAAATTTCTCCTCGGAATTTCACATCTCCTCGGAAATTCCTCGGAAATTTCCGAGGAATTTCCGAGG